TTCGACCCAGCGTCTGCGTGAGTGGACGTGGAGTCAGATTCCGAACCCTTACTGGCGCATGCCCATCGCCTTTGGCCCGATGCCCGGGCCGCGACAGACCCATCTTGGTGTACCACGCGACGGCACCAAGTCCACATTTACCACAGCGTCAATCAAGTTCAAGACCTCGCGAACCGTACTGCAAAATCTGTTCCCGCCTGGTCGCAAAGGCTGGCGGTTCACATCTCCAGATACCATTGCTTACGCCTCTTTCTCGCAGACAACGCTGAACAAGATGGAATGGCTGGGTGGGTCAGGATACAAGCATATTGGCTTGTACATTCACGGGGTTGAGTATGTCAAGGACGATGGCTCCGTAATCCAGGGCACCTATCTCCCCGTCCTTTTCGAGTCCTTGACGGACCCCATCGTTTCAGGTCGGGAGGAACTCGGCATGCCCAAGCTTTACACCTCAGTCGATGTGTACCGTCGCTCCAGTTCTTATCGCATTCGCACTGGGTGGGAGGGGGCTCTCTGGGGAAACTTCTTACTTGAGGACCTGGTTGAAGTCGACCCGTCAACCACCACGGGCGCCTTGAGCGGAGAAGCCGATGCAGGAATTCTGGGCTACAAATACCTCCCTAAGAGTGGCCGGGCAAATAAGAACATTCCTGCGGAAGAATATGCCATCTTCGACCCCTTCTCCAAGGCCGTGCCGACTCCACAACCACAAAGGGTGTACACGACTAACAAGGCAAGCATACAAATTGATGCATTGGATTGGCAACAATTGCCGACGCTCTACCATGTCATTTCACGGCTCGCAGAGGTCCCCGTGTTCGAGATCGTGGGGGCGAAGGTGGTGGAAGGGGAGGGAGTGCCGGATGTTTCGGGGGCTGGACCAATTGAGTAGATACCATTTCTTAACCATACTTTAACCTAGTACTAGGTCTATGGCCCTAAATTGGGTCACAAATATGGCAAACATTCTCCATACTAGGGATTCTAATTTTCTAAACTGTACTCCGTAAATTTTGTAGCCATAACTATGTGCATTTACTTTACAATCAAAGCCTCGACTGACGTGATTCCCAAGCGAGACGGCACCTCATTAATAATCTCAATTTGTACATACCATATAAACAATCAAAACACCATAAATTCTACTAAACTATGCCTTGAGGCATTTATTAAAAGAAATCCCTTTCTCCTTACATCCAAAACAGGTAATTTGACGATATACAGGGGGTAGAACAAGTAGGGGGTTCTTCCGGGGTTGATGGGGCAGGTGCTTCAGTATTATAATGGGAAGCTTTACGGGAAGCAGGTTAATGTTTATCTGAGTGGGCCAAATATGACATCTACGTGAATGCAGTAGATAGACGTCGCGTAAGTATTCATTTGCTGAGGCCGTCTGTCGAGGAGAAATAGTAACAGGTGGGAGAAAGGTTTGGAGAGATGGACATGTCAGTCGCTCGTTTACACGTGAAGCAATCAGAACACAGTACATTTTGCTCTATATTCCGGGATACGTATTTGGTAGTATCGTTTGTAAAAGCAGTCGTCTCAGCTATGTATGATAAAGTGTCTTTGAGTTTTAATACTAACTAAAAGTGCACCAGTAATACTGTAAAGCAAACAATATCTTCTGTCTTACACCGGATAAAGAAGGACATATAGCGGCACAATTGGGATATCATTGATATCCAGTCTTTAGGCGTAAAGGGTTAGGTGGGAAGGAGTCCTAACACGAAGGCCGCATAATCTCATCGGTTAAAATTGCTTGTGGATGATTTTCCGTTAATTTAGTTCTCGGCTATGAGCCCGATGAGGGCCCGAAGCTGCCCAGCATTCAATACCCCCAGATTTCCCCACATTGCCTTCTACCCCGGATTTACTAGCGCATGCCTGAAACCTAATTTCAATGCAGCGGGAGGTGGGCACCCCATCCCGGTGCTCATTCCGCTCAGCTTGTTATAAGAAACGGAGCACAAGTCACATACCAGCCCAGCATCCTCATTTATCTAATTAGCACACACAAACTCGAGTTGTAAGGATGGACCACAATAAACCAATCCATGAGGAAGTAGAGAGGGTTCAAACCAAGGACGATACCATGGCCCTCAAGCACCAGACCCTGGGCCATGTCCGCCTCCGCCACGAAGACACGAACGAGATCATCCTCATTCCGGCCCCAAGTCTTAACCCAAACGATCCTCTACGATGGTAATCGATCCCATCCCATCTCCATCTCGCATGTCGTGACTAGCTCGTGACTAACGCGAACAGGTCCACTCCATACAAAATCTACATCGCCACCCTGGTCTCCCTCGCTATGGTAATGTGTAACTTCATGGCCGCAGGCCCCACTGTTGCAATGGTCGAAATCGCCACGGATTTCAAGCAGGGTGGAGACACTACGCTGACCGAATGGATCGCCCGCGCCGCCTACTTCTTCAACAATAGCTCCCTGCTCCAGGGTGTGTCGTGCATAGTCTGGGTGCCACTGGTGGTCAAGTACGGCCGCCGCCCGGTGTATATCGGCTCGCTTATCCTGTACTTCTTCATGATTCTCGGTGCTGGGCTGGCCAAAACTTACGCGGGCGAGCTGACGACCCGAACGATTTTGGGGATTGGGGCAGGCGCGGGAGAATGCTTGGCTCCTATCACTATGGCGGATATATTTTATCTCCATGAGAGGGGTTACGGGATGGCGTGAGCTACCTCTATACTGCTAGCAATATAGGAAGACGCTAATGGTGTAGGATCTATAACTCGGCCCTCAGCGCGGGAGTCAGCTTGGGGATTATCATTTCGGGCCTGATCACAATTTCTAATCCCTGGCGGAGCATATACTGGGTTGGCGCCGGGCTCGTCGGCGGCCTCCTCATCGTCGTCGTATTCTTCTTCCCCGAAACTGCCTTCACACGTACCGACTCTCCTGACAATGCCCATACACTCGAAGACATCTCCCACAAAGACTCCTACTGGCAAACCCTAAAACCCTGGTCGGGCAAAGTATACACATCCGAACCTCTCTGGCGCATGCTCGTGCGCCCCTTCGGACTAATCCTCATCCCGCCAGTCTTCTGGGCGACAATGGTCATGTCTGTAACAATCGGCTTCCTCGTCGCCGTCGCATCAAATTTCGCTACGGCCTTTGAAACGACCTACAGCTTTGAACCGTGGCAGAGCGGACTGTGCTTTATCTCTGGGATTATCGGCTGCTTCCTGGGGACGTTTGCCGGCGGGCCGTTCTCAGACTGGGTTGCCGATGTTTTCACAAGGCGCAATGGGGGTATTCGTGAACCCGAGATGCGTCTGCCAGCAATTATCCCGAGTTTGATTGGGTGTCCGTTAGGTTTGGTGTTGTATGGCGTTGGGATTGCGAAGGGGTGGCATTGGATTGTACCCACCTTGGGGTTGGGGTTTTTGTCCTTCTCCATTACTCAAGGAACAAACGTCTCCTTTGTCTACTGTGTCGACTGTTTCCGTCCTGTCACTGGGGAAGTCACCGTAACCCAGCTTGCGTTCAAATGTGAGTCCTACCCCCACTCTACTATAATCTTACATGCCTTCAAGCTTATAATGGCATGATTGTGAAGCATGCTTCGGCTTCCTTCTTTCCTTCTACACAAACCCCTGGATTGAACAGTCGGGATACATAGGCGCATTCTGCACCATGGCTGGTATCTCTGCGGCGTTCATATTGGGGTTCATCCCGCTGTACTTTTGGGGTAAGGCGATTCGGCAATGGGCGATGAGGTGGCCCTTTGTGCAGTTTGTGTTTTGGGAGGTGGATCGTGAGGTTGGCGAGTAGTTGTCGAGCTCGAACTACTTGGACTCGAAGTGGTTGAACTGGTCACATTTGAGTAGCTGTAGCTGGTTGGGTGGGGTTGGGTTGGGGTTTATCCTTTGGTATATCTGTATGTCATCGGGATGCTGAATAGCTTCGCAGGGATTTGGAATTATAGTGAGGTGAGTGACTGATTGATGCGGTTTCCAAGTGTATAAGTGATTTTATCTCTTCAATCAGAGGTGGTTACTTATTCACCTACCATACATAAATTCTCCTCCCTATAGCTGCGCCACCCCCTCGAGGCTCGGGCCATTCTGGATCCGACTCGGATGCTTTCGAAGTAGCAAAATTAAACCAGTGCCGGCGGACGTTATCTAGCAATACTGGTGTCGTGATCCGTAAGTGAATACTATGAGTCGAGCAAGTTGTAACTGGGGAAGATGCTGCACCATTGAGAAGGCCGCGCTCGTCGTATTGGAGTGGGGGAGGTCCCCTACTAATGGTAAATCAGAAATGGGAGAGTCCTACTGGTTGTTTTATAAGTATGTTGAGGAGCGGATGATCAATATTCATAGTGTATCAGCATTAATCCCAGTATAAAGAATCGCTAGAGGAAGTGTTATCTATTGATACTGTATATTCTTCAGCGTGTTTGAGGCCTTCCGCACCACCACCCCTTTAGACCTGGCAGTGACTCTCTAGGTAGTTTGTAACCTTGGACTCTCTACCCAAGCATCGGCTATATAGATTTATAGAGTTAAGCTTAATTAAACTGGATAAAACTATTTACATACTCATGTTAGCAAAATAAAGTTGGTTATATATATATATGTTACCTACTGGCACAATGAATACCGATTTATAACCATTGAAATTGTTAAATATTCTCAATTATTTAATACCAGCCTCCTTTGTTTGAGAATTCGTCTTGCTCAGTAATGACCAAATCTGATCGACTAGCACGGTAGATTGTTGCCCACATCATTTGTGAAATCCATGGATGCTTGTGCGACCAATTATCTGCCTAGGTACCTAGGTAAGATAAACAGCTTACTAAGTGATGATTAAGCGGGGTCAATCCCGGGCAGGGGCCCCAGGACCCCGGGGCGGCCCGGGGTCCCAGCGCAGGCGGAAGGGGACGTCCGTATTCTCCGACAATTTGTGGGGTCGATTTGCGCGCAGTCGCTCATTCAGCTGACTGACTTACGACCTCCCTCCAGCACGATCTCTTGCATCAGTTGGTGCTTTTATGATGGCCTCCACTAATTTTAATGCGACAAACCATGGTCTCCAGATTGGAAACAACCAAGGTTCTATCACAGCAGAATTTCATGTTGCCCGGGGTAATTTCAATGTGATTTCCAAAGAAATAAATGGAAGCTGACGTTGTTGATAGCGTACACCACCGAAGACATCGATCGAATTTCTCTTAATGCTCTGCGCTGCCCTGACTCACTGGCTGTAAAGAATCGGTTGAAAGAGAGCAAGGACAAGTTGGTTCACCAGTCAATCCACTGGATTCTTCAAGACCCGCAATATAAGAATTGGGAAAATGGAGACGATGTCGGTCTGCTTTGGATTAAGGGGGCGCTGGCAAAGGGAAGACCATGATGTCAATCGGTCTTATCGAGGAGCTCGCGCGGGCGCAGGATGAAACTACTGTGGTTATTTATTTCTTCTGCCAAAATGCTGACTATGAGCTCAATACCCTTGAAGCCATTCTCAAGGGGTTGATTCTCCAACTAGTGAATCAGCAAACGGAGCTTGGAGAATCTCTCCGTCGCCGTTGGGACACTGTCACAGAGCGCTTTAGCGAGGATCTTACCTCGTGGCAATCATTGTGGAACATTCTTTTTGAGATGTTGGCCCGGTGCAAGTACTCAAGGGTATATATGGTCATTGATGCTCTTGATGAGTGTCAAGATGACGGCATGGCTGACTTCCTCAAATCCATCGTCCGAAAGGGACTGGATCATCCCGCTAAGATCAAGTGGATGTTGACAAGCCGACCATGGGACAGCGCAGAGCGGGTATTATTAGCTAGCCATGACCAAGTGCAAGTCAGTCTGGATGAGGAGCTCCATTCCCAATCTGTTTCGGGTGCTGTGAAGGCTTATATCACATATAAAGTGGAGGAACTCGGTCGCCTGCACAGATATGGACCGACCCTAAAGAGCGAAGTAGAAACGGAGCTTACTGAAAGATCGGAGGGTACCTTTTTATGGGTAAGTTTGGTATGCAAGTCACTTGAAAGGGTCTGCCGAGATGAGGCTCTGTCCACAATTCAAAGCTTGCCGCCAGGTCTGCATCCGTTCTATGAACGGATATTGAACCAGCTCAATGAGGGCGAACGGGATGAAGTGCAGAAATGTATGCGACTGCTCAAGGCCATGATGACGGTATACCGACCATTGAAAGTGGAGGAAGTTCCTAGTGTGATTGGCCTAACCGACGAGGAGGACACCATTAGAGTATTGGTCGATTGCTGTGCTTCATTCATCCGATTGCGGGAAGACAACATCGAGTTTGTTCATCAGTCAGCTCGAGACTACTTGGCCGGAGAGAACGGACTATCCATACTCGACTCGTATGAACGCTTTGGGCATGAAGAAATTGTCATGGGTTGTCTGTCCTATTTATCTGAATGTCTCAAGCCCAACCTGGTCGAACTGCCGCGACCTGATGCCACCAGAGACTCTATGAGAACTTTGGAAAATGGAGCAAGGAATGGTGTACTGTCACGTGTGGACTACGCGGCTCTGTTCTGGGTGTCGCATCTAAAGAAGACTAGTAATGACACCGACAAGAGTCATGTTAGCATATTCCTCCATACAAAGTTGTTGGAATGGCTAGAATGCCTAAGCCTGTTGGACAGACTACCAAAAGCCGTTGACGCGTTGCAAGCATTGGAGATTATTCTGAAAGTGAGTTTCTAGTATTTTCTGGTGTCTACATCTTTGCTAATCAACTTGACAAAGGATGACAGTCTAGCTTTAGCACTCGTGCAGGATGCTATGCGCTTTTTATTGCGACACTATCACACTTTATCGCACTGGCCATTGCAGATCTACAGTTCTGCCATCGTCTTCAGTCCTGAATCAAGTGTTGTGAAGAGAGAAAATCTACCCAAAATTCCCGTATGGCTGAGAAACGCCCCTCCCATAGAGGACAGTTGGACGCCTTTGATACAGACACTTACAGGTCATTCTGGGTCTGTCGAGATTGTCGCCTTCTCACCTGATGGCAAGCAGATAGCGTCAGGCTCTGATGATGGCATAATCAAGCTCTGGGATGCTATTACAGGTGCCCTCCAGAAAACGCTATCAGGTCACTCGAAGGAGATCACGGCTATGGCTTTCTTGCCAGATAGCAAACTTATCATATCAGGCGCTCATGATGGCTCTATCATGCTTTGGGATACCACCACAGGTGACTTTCAGGTGATAGGCGACCACTTCAGAACATCCAAGGACTACGATCCCTACTTGCAGCCACTAGAAGAGGTCCATTATAACCCCCACGCCCTTGCTTTCTCGGCGGATTGCAGGCAGATCGCAGCAGTCGGTCGTTATCAAGATGATCATGTTATCATGCTTTTTGATACTGGTACATGGGACGCCCGGAAGATACTTACAGACTATTCAGACTCATTCTTAGCTCTGGCCTTCTCACCAGACAACAGACAGCTTGTATCAGTCTCTCGTGACCGCAAAGTCAGGCTCTGGGATACTACCACAGGTGACCTTCAGAAAACACTAGTCGGCCACACAAGCTGGACTTACACTGTAGCCTTCTCACCAGATGGCAAGCAGATTGTATCAGGCTCTGATAATGGTATCATTTTTTGGAATGCTGCAACAGGTGACCTCCAGGCGACATCAGCAAGCCCTGCTGCCCGGAGTGTGGCCTTCTCACCCGACAGTAAGCAGGTCGCAGCAGGCTTTACAGACGGCACAATCCATATTTGGGATGCTTCAGGCAATCTTAAGGAGACACTAGCATGCCACTCCTGGGCAATTATGTCTCTGGCCTTCTCACCAGACGGCAAGCAGATTGTTACAGGCTCTAGTGATAGCACTATCAAGCGTTGGGACAACACCCGAGGTGCTATTCAGAAGGTCGCAGGCCACTCACACAGTGTTACAACCGTGGCATTCTCACCAGACTGCAAGCTGATTGCATCAGGCTCTGTTGACGAAACAATTAAGCTTTGGGATGCTGCAACCGGCGATCTCCATAAAACACTAGCAGGCCATTTAATCGGAATCCGTGATCTGGTTTTCTCACCAGACAACAGGCAGATCGCGTCGTGCTCTTATGAAGCACTCAAGCTCTGGGATGCTGCCACATGTGACCTCCAGAGCTCATCTGAGAGCGACGACCCATTCATCACGGTGGCCTTCTCACCTGATAGCAAAATTATCGCATCAGGACATGAAAGCGGCCGCATTAGTCTCTGGAATACAGCCACAGGTGACCTCGAAAAGGCACTGGCAGGCCACAAAAGCAAATTTGAGTCCCTGACGGGATTAGACCTGTTCGATGTCGAAGTCAAAACCGTGACCTTCTCACCCGACGGCAAGCTTATTGCATCAGCCTCCGCCGATGCAACCATTAAACTTTGGGATACCGCAACAGGAGACCTCCAGAAGACACTAGTATGCCATCCACAGGGCATCAATATTTTGGACCCTATAACACTAGCAGGCCTGTCAGGCTGGATCATTGCACTGGCCTTTTCATCAGACAGCCAGCATATCGCAGCAGTCTGTAAAAATAAAACCATCAAGGTCTGGAGCATCGAAAAATCCCTCAAAGCCTCAAAATATCTGGGACGCACTTTCGGTAGCCATATCAAGTCGTCCCGGCCATGGAAGGAGATTCAAACACCAGAGCAGGTGTATACCATAGAATTTGCAGCAGGCAACCGACACCTCGCAACAGATATTGGACTAATGGCACTTGAGAGCACCCCGACAGAAGGGGAGGAGGAGCTGCCAGTGAGGTCGAGCTCGGATTCATTGCAGAACCTCTATCTCCGAGACGAGTGGTTATGCTATGGAGCCATGCCCATCCTCCGGCTATTGCCCGATTATCATGTTGATCCATGGGATGCGAACGGCGATCACCTGGCTGTCGGATTCAGCAACGGCGTAGTTTCAAGCTTCGACATTGATCGACGTGGTTTACAACCATTGTGGGAAGCATTTCAGCCATGACGGTATGGGAAGTCGGGGGTGGGTATGGAGTTAACCAGGCAGGTTGACTGTTGAAGATTCAGGCTCTGTGAATGTCAGATCAACTACGGTTTATCAGCATCTGAAGGACCTTTTTTGTGTGTCGTTCCTTTTTGTAGCAGCCGTGGAAAGTTTACATTAGTCGATTTCTCTCCTTCATTATATACTTCAAACAGCTTCACATGTTTCAACTTCACATGATTTTCATGAAGTCTAAAATAATAAAAAGAAATTGGTTCAACACAGTACAGATCTTACAGAGCGTACAGTGTATCAATAATTAAATTAAAGGTGGTATACTTAGTCGCCCGTAATGAACGCACGTTCTGTAGATTCCTTGTTACCTGCCGATTATCCGTGCAGTGTGCCGTGACAATGTATTTAGTCTACGCTTCGCGAGGTTCTTGGTCTTTTTGATAGACAAGAGCTAAGATAGGAGGGATCAATTCATATAGCAGTGTGGATTATATTGGATTCCTTGTTTTTATTAAACTGTTACCACATGCCACAAGTAATTAGGAACTGCCAAAGCGAACACCGCTAATCTTGCCGGAGTTGTTTCCTATCTGGAAGCCCGAGTTAGGCCCCCGAGAACACCACACTATTAGTGTAGGTGGTGGTCGATTGGATGACTTTGACAACTGTGTCACTCAGCAGGTTGTCCTGGCCAGCAGCGACCTCTTTCAGTAGCGGAAGAATGCCTTCGTTCGTGTTCAATCCGGACACCTCTTCCTCACACAGCTTGCGCTGTTCCTCCTGGATTCCCGGGAAAAGATCGATCAACCCGCCCACCAATTCGCTAATGTCTTCGATCAGCCGGATGAAATTCTTCTCCTCGTACAAGATAGTCAATTGGTCCTGCTCCAACTCAGACTTCCCCTGTCGTTTCTTAGCAAGATCTTCCATCTTCTGGTGCAGTGAGGCTGAGACACTGTCTAGCTGTTCAGCCGGGTCCAACACTGGCACAGTGGGGTTGCGTCTTCGTAGTCGCTTCGAAGCCGCCTCGGCTTCCGCAAAGAGCTCCAGAATCTGGGCCAGAAGGTCTTGGACCTGCTCTCTATCTTCGGTGGGGAGGTTCGTCATCTGGAGTGGTTTAACACCGTCGTCGACTTTCGCCAGCCCGACGGAGTGACCCCATCGGGTTAGGCGGAGCCGCACCACATCCAGTTTCAGCAAACTCGTCTGGAAGCTTTGGCCGAAATTGGCCCCCATTTGGATATAATCGAAACTTTGAACCGCGTCGTTGAATAACTGAGATTGTTCCTCGAGCATCTTGATCATGGCGTCTTGCTTCAATTCCAGCTTCTGGGTTTTTTCGATGATCGTCCCCGTATCGGATTTGATGGCCTCCACTCGTCCATCGATAACAGTGACCTTTGCGACAAGGAACTCGACGTTTCCATTCATACTTTGAACAATCTCGTCCAGGATCTCCACCGTCCGAAGAGTGGCCAGCCCAACGGCCTGGGTCAGCTCATTCACGGCTTCCTCCATATCCTGCATGGCTCCTGAAAGAGCCCCATCCGATCCATCAACCAAATTGCTAAACCACTTCCCTAGATGAAAAAAAAAAACTCTGAATTAACATCGAGCCTCTCCCTAAACAAAGAGAGCGTGGTTAAAGGAAAGCTGCTCACTGAATCTTTTTTTCTCGGCATATTCCTGGGCAACGGAGCAAATGGTCAGCATGCCTGAGAAGACACGAGCAACACATCGCTGGAATGGCTTTTGCTGTGGAGTTTTCTCCTCGATCATAGAGAGCCGGTCGAAAAAACGGTGCGTGAAGTCGAAAAAGCCCATGATCTTGTCATAGTCGGCAGATACTGTGGCAAATGCCTGAGGGCTGTTAATAGGAATGATCATTTTCAAACAATTGTTCAATCTGTCTGATGGCCATTTATTTCTTCTTTCCCCTTTTGGAGTAGCCATACCTGCATGACTTGCCCAAAGGCCGTGAAAATCAAACTAGCCGGCATTGCAGGAGGAAAGGCCTGTCAACCACCATCAGTACTTATCAACCGGGAGTCAAACAGTAATACTGATATAAGAAACGTACCGATGCCGCAGATCCAACCACTTCAACAGTTTTGACAACCTTCTCGATCAGGGATAGGTTGTTTTTCAATGCGGTCCGCACATTGTCTGTTTTCGACCGGTCATGCCGGAAATCCTTGAAGTCGTTCGACAAGCCTTCCGTCCCCTTCATGATTTGATCAATGTTGCTGAACTTTGCCATGTGGAGACTCTTCTTGGTTCTTTTCTCATAGTCTTCGACTGCTCGCTGCCATAGTTGAGCGAGGTCGGACTCCTGCCCTGCGGAAGTTTCTACCTGGGTATCCATGTCTGGAAAGCGGCGTCAGCTTGGAGCAAGCGTGAGAGGTAAATTACTCGAAGATCGAATGAGTGAAGGAGGTATGGGAATGATGTATTTGGACACAAGAAGCTAGTATTGAGTGAGGGTCGTCATTATTCATGTAATGCCCAGCAGAGTAATATGTTATGCAGGGGTGCAGAGCTGAGAGATCCGTGCTAAGCTGGAAGATTACGGGAAAAATACGAATGTCATCTCACCACTGTCACCTACCTAGGTACTAACTACTCCGTAGTTGTAACTCTCAGTCCCAGCCGCATTTACCTCCGACCCCACTTGACTTCAAAGCCTCAAAACAGTAAAGAAAAGGGTTACTACGGCCGCGCAACCATTTTACCCTCTCGAATCAAAATCAATAATATTCATACAAATAGAAGATCAACCAATTTCTGATTGTCCCGTCTAGTAGGAGACTACGGCATACTTTATGTACTGTCGGAAGTTCCTCTCCCTTGTGCTCCCTTGTGTTATCCAGAGAGTACAAGATTAAGGGTTAGGCTGCAATTGGGCATGGGATCTCTGGGTGTGTGCCAAGGCCTAGGCAACAACAAGGGCGGGGTAATTGTTTAGAAGTTCGTGATCAGAACCGCTCAAGGCTGTGCAACTAGCGCCCTACAGCGGAAACCTCCCAAATTAACTCGGAAGGTTCATTATGGGTCCTCTAACCCGGTGATAGTCCCTCTTTCTCAGATGGTATACTTTCTCTACCTCGTGCGTCGGTGACAGGACATCGAGAATCCATGATCAGCTGGCCAAGCAGCAAATGAGCGAGATTATAGTGTTCATTAAGTATTGCCATTGCTTGAAGTGACTTCTTGATACAGGGCATATTAATAACATGAGAAGCTGGGGCGCACATTTGGTCAGCCGCAATTCAGCTCCGGGTAGTTGCGTCAAACAAATGCAGGTTCCGGGCGGTAAACTTGCTTTTTTATCGTAACCTATTTTACAGAGAGCCTCACTTGATTGGAATAGCCAGCAAATAATCTCCGGGGAATCACTAGCTAGGCATATTATGGTATTACAAGGTCCCACTACAAGGGAGGCTATTTTAAGAACCACGAAAACAGTATACCATATAGAACGTTCTAAAGGACCCTGCAAGGTCAGACGCCTGTTTAAAGATCTAGCCACCAGTAAGTACAGACGGCGGAATCCCGCCTGAGTGTCTATGTATGCTTGGTCAGCTGTTGGAAGGTCCACTGGGCAAGGTGTCACGACACAGAGAGGAATGGATAGATAAGATCTCGTAAAGCAGCTCGCCCCCACTTATCGGTTTTTTAACCGAGCATATTTGGCCCAATAATGAGAATGTCGTTCTTGCCTCTTCGAATGTCCTGCATGGACGTAACGCACAAGACGCCGGGAAGGCCGAAGGCTACAGCCAACCACAATAATTTAACACCTAGGGAGTACATATACCTTAATAACCTAGTGTAATATTGGTAATGAGGAAATACAGGCTTCCCGCTAGACTAAACAGACAAATAGCACGAATATCTCAGGTGAGTCCCTTTTTGTTCGGTTATTTTTCCACGCTTCTTGTAGTGTTTTCATAACAGTCGCGAAGGATCATCAATTTCTGCTTGCTAGCTAGCTTTCGCTCCCACTCCATCCCTCTTCAAGATGTCAATCAGAGTTATTCGGGAACCGGCCAACGCCAAAGTCGAGTAAGATCGTTCCAGTCGCTTTCTGTAGCCCATTCCGTTCGAATTCGATATACTTACCCGAAGGCACCGACAGTATCGTGTTTGTCCACGGCTTGCATGGCGACCAAGCACCATGGACATCCGAGGCGGATGTCTTCTGGCCCGAAAAGCTCCTCCCGGCCAAAGTATCCGACGCGTGTATCCTGTCTTTCGATTATCAAGCGGCACTTGGTTCTTTCTTTGACGAGGACGACGAAATCACTGACATTTCTACCGACCTGGTCAATGAGCTGATGGACCATCGAACTGAGAAAGAAAAGGTTTCCCAACCCCCGTTCTACCAGTGTCCTGTTGATCCAGCTGGTTGACAGAGCAAAATAGGAAGAAAGACCGATCATTTTTGTCGCCCATTGTCTCGGTGGCACTGTTTTGGAGAACGTACGTACCCTCTCCTTATACTTGTGCATGTATATATAGGCGTCTAATTTGATTTCCAGGCGCTAGTACGAGCTGCTCAACATCCCAGGAAAAAAGAGCTCATCGGCTGTATCTACGGTATATTATTGCTAGGGACTCCACATTTCCAGGCTGGATCGCTACCGGCAGCCACGAAGTATTTCCAATTAGCTCAGGCGGAGATCCCGAGTGAGTCGGACCTGAAAGACCGGTTAGAGTCTCTCAGCGCCATCCCCCGGGCCTTTGCCGGCCTCAAAGAGGCAGGGGCTGAGTTTGAGGTGGAGAGTTTCTATGCTGGAGCCGGCACCAAGCTAGGCGGCAAGGACGTGAAGATCGTTGATGAGGCGTTGGCCCGAAGCCCGGAAGCCCCTCCCCCTGAGCGGCTGGCGCGCAATCAGCTACGATTGAGCCAGTATGACAGCGAGGATGACAAGGATTTCAAGAAGGTGTCTCGTATTCTTACCCAATGGGCGTCCAAGATTGTTCTTCCGGAGGAGGATAAAGGGGCGCAAAATGTGTCGAATGCAACATTTTCTGGTTCCCACAATTCCGGTTTGCAGCTGGGGCAGAATGTGGGCACCCTAAAGGGGTTCAGCTTCGGAAGAGGTTAATTAGTTAGTTGGTTGATTAATTCATACTTCCATATTTGCCACTCGAGTGATCTTTGGTCAGCCAGATCAGCCACAGAAACCCACGATCTTTGGCGGCCAGCGGCGTACTCATATCCCTCACCGTCGGACGGGCTGAAGTATGTTCCGCGCTAATCCACGGAGGCTCCGGCAGCTATAAGAGAGGATCTCGAAGAGAAGATTCTCATAAAAGCTCAAGGCAGATTCCAATGGGCAATACTTATAGGTCATCCAAGGCGTAACCTATGAAACCGAGGTGCAGAGGCTGCACAGAAGGCCCAAACTGAGTCCCAAAGCTCTTGACCAGATATTTTGCTTTTAAAAGTCTTTCCAGGTCAAGGTCAGGGAGCTCAGTGATCAAATAGCTGATGTCAAGAGTAAGTTGCGTGTCTAATTTTTCGTTGTCTCGTTGCGGACAATCAAAGTAAATGTCACTCTTACAGAAGCTACTGAAAAAATCAAAGTCTAGAATCACATAGCGCAAGGTGCTGGTACGACTTTGTCTCGAACTTCACGCGATTGGCCTCTTGCCACTGCTTTCATCTGAATCCGTCGAGATATTCAAGATCCTATTCGACGCAGGCGTAGTTGTGAACACGCGAATGCGTTCCTTGTGTGGCAGCGCTCTCACCTCTACTGCTACTACCGACCCGCTTAATCCTAAGATTCTCTAGTGTTCTCGTCAATGCTGGAGTCGACGTTATATACAAGTCGACCATCATTTCTACGGATACACGCTCCTCGTTGCTGGTACAGCTCGCAGGCCATCGAAGCTTTGCTCGAAGCTAGTGCTGTTTTTAACACGAATCCCGTGTTTTCGCCAATTAAACTAAGAAGGATTGGTGATTAGTGAATAATTTGGGATGTGATATAAACAGGGATCAGGTGCAGTAGTCTCGAAGATAGGCACTTAGTGATTGGCGGAGCCCACAACGCACGCGTAAGGGACTATGATGGGGAGCCACGTTGTCATGGTCCCGCAAATTGAGCATTAATTTTGCTTCTGTTTTGCATGGAGAGAAATTCAAAAAAATAGGAATCCTAAACTCATTCCTACCACCGATTACTTGTCGTGGCACATTGGTAGCTCATCACCCAAATTTAGATTTTTTTAGATACAGGAGTATGTACATTATGTAGGAATCGCTGCATATAACCTATATAACCTAAAGGCAATACTCTTCATGCTAATAATCCTGAATTACAGGGCTAGGTAGCTCGTTATGACGCCAAATAGGTCGACTTTGAAATATCTCTAGGCTAAATTCAATGCAACATGTACGTAACGTCCCTCCCGGTAGTAATGTTCTTTACATAGCACGACACAGCTGGTTTATTTCTAGGACGATGAAACATGCAATCATACAATAATGCCCACTAATGCACGAGCTACGCGCTGGGGTTGGGGTGTTCATTTTAGGAACCTTTACATCCATTCCTTTTGGTACACTTGAGGGTATATTTGTAAAACATCCTTGCTAGCGCTGTTGATATGGAGGGTAGGCAAGCTAATTTAGAAAAATAACGTCTTGTTCTTATTGTGCTTGATGTTCATGTTGGCCTCTTTCAATCGAATTCATTCCTCCCCTGAAGGTTATACCATACTTATGAATCCGCAACATGATACGCTCATTTAATGTACTCCTCCTCTCAATCCTACCTCTTATTGACTTTTCATATTCCTTGTCTGTGGGTGCCACAACGTCTGACAATAACAACAACTGCACCGCCATATTCACAAATAACCGCACTCAGCTGGACGAATGCGGCACACTGGGATGGATCAGTGAACCTAATGGAAGAGGAACAGCAGATATAATATGGAGCTGTTGCTTTACCATGTTTCTCTGTTCATGGTCAAGCTTATGTCTCAATGTACCAGGACCAGAAGACACGACATGGAAAATCTTCAGGCGGAGAGCCTACCTCACTGCCTTGGCCCTCTTAGGACCAGAATTTATCTTCCAAATAGCACTATCCCAATGGGAGTCTGCGCGCCAGTCGGTTGCAGACTTTGAGGCCGCGGGGATCGATTGGTGGACAATAACCCACGCATTCTATGCCGACATGGGTGGATTTGTCTTGAAGTGCAAAGACTCGGTGGCATTTCCAATCAATGCAAAGCAACTACATTACTTGATCGTGAAAGGATACGTGAAGATTCCAAGAGTCGATGAACAGGTAATTGCCGACAAGAACAAAGTCGACGGAATGCTGAGACTCATCACGGTCTGTCAATGTCTCTGGTTCATTTTCAGTATGTGTGGGCGTGCATCCCTACGCCTGGCCATCACCACGGGTGAGCTCACAACGGCGGCATTCATTGTCTGCAGCGTTGCGACCACATTTTGTTGGTACAATAAGCCCGCCGACGTTCGAACTCCTGAATTCATTGCGACCGATACAACCCTTGAGCAGATCCTGGCAGATGCAGGAGATGTAGCAAAGGGACCATGTCGCTATACTCCCCTGGACTTTGTGACTCGAAAGGAGTGGCCGTGGTCTTTGTATTGGTCTAACTGGACTAATATACTGCGCAAGCTGCATATTGTTATCTATGAAAAACGTCGACCGGTTGATCGCTTTCAAAACACACTAATCTACGAGCCTTCCATGCTTGGCTATGGGATATTCCTACTCTTGACTGTCATTTATGCGTCTATCTTTATATGTGGTTGGAATTATAAATTCCCGACCGTTACTGAGCAAAACCTATGGAGAATCTCATCCACCGCTGTTTTAATTTCCGCCTTTCTTTTCTGGGCGGTTGGACATTTTGCCTTCTCCGTATATCCCACTCATATCAAGCCGTTCCTGGAAGCCCGAAAGTGCGAAAGGGTTATGGATGAAGAAGCATCGCCAAATCCGACGTGGATCCGTTTCAAGCGACGAGCGAGGCGCGTGGGCGATAGGATCAAAAACAATTCGATCGATCGGGACCCAGATCTTACCGTTCCATTGAAGGCGATATTGCCTATGTACATTATTGGCGTGGTATATTGCCATGCCCGTGCGTACATCTTTCTCGAGGATATCCTCCAACTTCGATCGCTCCCAGCGAGTGCGTATAGCACCGTTGATTGGATAGACTTTTGGCCTCATGTGTGACTACTCATTGTTTGTCTGATATGAATAGCTCAATTCGCATTCCAACTCATATATATATTTCAAAGACTTTGTGGGGTCGCGGCAAAACAACACAAGCCCTCCATGGATTTTTACACGATCTAATGACAGAAACAAAACATTGTACTCTTTCACATTCGCTCGTAACAAAACAAAACATAGCCAATCTCATGCATTCATATTCGCGAAAATCCAACATGAAAGAATGACAGGGCTCACTCATTGAACTTTCTTAGGCTCCACAGGATGTTCTTCTCCGGTCGTCGGCTTTGTCGCCCGAATGGCGCAGTAGCGGTGAAATTCATAGTATCGATAGCCCACAATCGCAGCCACAGCATTGACGAAATATCTCTCGAGGCCGAATGCCCTGATGAAGAGGTAAGGAATATACGCAAGAATGAAGAAAAGGCGTAGCATCGGTTTAACGTTTTCCGAGAGATCAGTCAGTTTTACGTCTGTAAAGCCGACTTCCTCCAGCAACGATAATAGGGTATCTGCTTCAAACTCTGAGTTGGCGGGCATAGCAGCGTACTCGTTGACCTGCCCGAAAAGCTTTGTTGCCTCAGCGTCCTTCGGAGTGATATGCGCATATTCATATAGCACAAGAGAGCCTCCGGGCTTTAAAATGCGGAGGAAGCCCTCGAGCACTGATTTCGCGTCTGTTGCATGCACTAGTGTCTCCATGGTGTACACTCCATCTAGAGATTCGGTTGGAAATCCTTCCAGGTGGTGATAATCTCCTAGCTGGGCCGTGACAGCCTTTTGGAGTCCAGCTGCAATGACATTTTTCTGGGCTCTAGCTACGTGTCGCTCGGTCACGTCGATGGCCCTAACATTGAGCTTGCGATTCGCCATGTGGATTGCAACGTAGCCATTGCCGCAACCAGCATCGAGAACAGTGGCACCAGCGGGTAGATCCAAGTCTTGGAAGAGATGGTCTTCCATCCTCTGGAGCGCCGCATTGATGGGGAAAGGCCACCAGCTGCCAGGCTCGTAATATCCAAAATGGCGAGTGCCGCCTAAAATGAGCCGGTACCCAAGCCTAGATTCTAGGGAGGCATAGTAGGACTGTAGAGCCGGGTTTTTGTTGATCAGGGGTTGAGTTTCTGAGGATGCCATCTTGTTTATGGAATTGAAGTCGACTGTAAGTAGCCCTGGAGAAATGTTGATTGTCTGAGCTGTGATTTGAGAGTGGATAATTGTTTGCGCTAGTGGTTACCGCCTTAGTTTCTAACGGAAAAATGGCAAATAAAGATCAAAATCAAAATTAAAATAAAATAAAAATAGGACCAACAGAAGAAAAAGGGGGCGGGGGGATGGTGGGATGTGTGATGTGACCACAATCACACTGCGCTTGGGGGAGCTAAGATCAAATGAGGGGGCTGGCGGCAAAGAATTGACTCCGCCCGGGATGGCGGGATGACGGGAGAGGCCGACATGGGTCTGCTGGAATAGTTCGACTACTTTGTACTCCGTAGGGAGGATATTCATCACCTATATAATATAATTCTAGGTGTAATACAACATGAAAGACAAGAAAAGATCGGAGTTCATTATTCAAAAGCAGGACTTCGGAGGAAACCTCGATTATACCTCCCCTACTAATGGGTTAGTATCCACACTTCTTTCTCTATTCCAATGTTATAAAATCATTGTCTCGCCCTCGGGATTCTATACGACATAAAGGAATATGCGATAGTCTTTCTGCCCTCACACAATGTCACACAGTGGATCGAAATCGGCCGTTCAACCAGACGGTCGAGCATCTAGTTAGCAGAGATCTCAAGCTCATTCCAAGGCCATTATCAAATATAAACTATAATCTAAGATTACACATCTAAAATAGGCCCTAATCAAGATCTGTCAAAACAAGGGGGAGCTAATACAAGATAGGTGTTCTTAATCCGATTAGGAATATACAATAGGATTTTGGCCGGGGAGTTAGATGGCAACCAGCAATAATACGTGTAAAACACTCTTTAACATAAAAGATGAAAGGGAGGGTTTTTTTTTTTTTAAAAAAAAAAAAAAAAAAAGAATGCGAGACGGGGGATCCTCGCAGCCTGCATAATCTGGCCATAATTGATTTGGGCTGTTTGCACTGTCTCTCTCAGTTCCAGCTGAAACCCGACGGTATATTGCAGTGTCTCTCGGTTTCTCAACATGTGATTTCTGAGACCGCGAAATTGGAACCTAGTGAACTGGACTCCGTCAACGGGCTACCCGGACTAATATTCCCGGGACTAAATCTCGATTCAATCCACAGAGTAAATTAGGTTGATCGAAGAAATCAGAATAGATCCAACAAACTTCACGTTATAGAGTTATCATTAATAATATACTAGGCACAGAATACTCCGTAGATAGTCCCTTCGGACTGAAAGAAGTCTGTTAGCAAAGTTCTTGTAGCCACAAAGGAGAGTAGAACATCCGTTTTGTCCCTTTTTTTGGCTGATGTGCTTTGATTGGACAAGAACGGTTTAGCGTCTTTAAGAGCTATCATGCCTGGCCCAGTCTGATCGACATATCAGGCGACCAATTAAGCTCAGACTGAACCACTTCACTAGTCTTCGGTGTACATACTCCGTACTAAATTTTGAAATTATACTAGTAGTTCAATAGCTTAGCCAAGTTGGGCTAGCCATAGCATTGTTGAGATCACACTGAGCCGATCTTAACCTGATATGACATACTTTTCAAGGTCTGAAATGAATGTTGTTCGAGACCCAATCCGTCGCGCAAAGCATCAAAGAAAATGACGGGCCGTTACATTAGCCGCCCAATTTGCCATGTTCCTTGTTTGTATCAAACCTACTAAGTAGTCACCCGGTCAGTCTGGCCATTCGGCATTTTTCTCCTTTTGTAATACATACACATATCAACTAAATTCATTTCCCCTTTCACTTCTAAATCACCTTTTACAGCATCATTGACTTCTGGCGTCAAACAATTTTGCCGCTCTCCCAGCTCTACGGTGAAATTCAGTCCGTTTTGCCCGCTTACAGGCCAAACCGCGGGTTGTCGACGTGAAATACAGGACCCAGAGAAATGAAGTTGCTACATGAAGTGCCAGGAAGCTTGATGGAGAAACACAAGAAGATTGTGTATTCATACGATTCAAAGGTCCGCAAAATCAGTTTCAGTTAACAGTCATGATTCTCTCTCCACATATGGGGGTTCTTCTACTTAGTTACGTGTAAACTCCGCCTGAACAATGCTCGAAAATGCTCCAGTCTCTCTAGGTTAGCGGATCGTTGCGTGCCATCACCGGGACCAACTACCTCGGGCATGATTCCATACACTCGTTTCCAGTCATATCTGGAATTAAATGAGTTCGGATTGCTAAGACATACCCACTGGCTATACTCGAATATATCCGTTTTATAGAGCCACTCGTTCATTTTGCCACCATCGTCTGAGCTATAATAGGTCCCTCTGGCGTTGCGGTATGCAGATGCGGCCAAGGATACCGACCTTGAGGCATCTTTACTGATATCCTCAAATAAAATCTTGCCATGCTTCGTCTCGCAGTAAAGACGTTATAACATGCTTACCATATCATTATAACAAGTACCATAGCAATGGAGAATCCTATCAAACAAGCTAGGACTGTATAACTACGGTAAATATCACGCGTAAGAAGTGGTCCGTCGAGGATGATAGTCGGTTAGTAAAGCCAAGAGACTCTCAGAAACTACCATAGGGTCATATTCGCGAGTCATTCCCATGTCGCTGTGCAAATCATGCCGGTCTACTTTCTAGCCTTTTTCTCAAAGATCTCCAGGACCGCATCGTTCGAGGAAGCCGCTGCCACATCAATTGCCGTCTGCTGCGCATTGTTCTCCATCATCGGATCCAAGCCCACATCCATGAGCTCCTGGAAACGTACGACGTCGCCGGTCGCGGCGACATGCAATAGCCCTCTACCCTCATTATCTGTGACAAAGAAGTTGGCGCCCAGCTCCTGTAGCAATGCTATACTCCCCTGCTCTCGCGGCACCTCGTACTTGTCACCCCGGAGTTTCCTCTTCACGTAGTCCTGATCGTATATATTGCCGGAGCCTTGCGGGAACCGGTGAGCGAACTTGAACAGCGGCGTCTCGCCTAGCAGGTTGCGTCCGTTGATGTCGGCCCCGCGACTGACGATATCCCGAAGTAATTGACGAAGCCCCGCCGTGCCGAGATCATTTGCCAGCATGTGCAGCGCACCTTCGCCATGCTTATTTGTCACTAGCGGGGACGCACCCGCTGATAGCAGAAGTTGTACCGGCTCCGTTTCAGCCGCTGAATCGACAGCTTGACGTACAGCATACATCAACGCAGTATCGCCTTGAAAGTCGACAAGGTGTACCAGCTCGGGTGCCAGGTGAATCATAGCCTTCAAAGTTGCCCTCCACCCTGGTGAGATAGTCCACTTGTGGCTAAGCAGGCATGTCAAGATCGTTCGGCCGAGGGCATCTTGTGCAGTGAGATCGGCACCCAGTCCTACCAGGCGCTGGAAAACAGTTTCTCTTTGTAATTCATCAGCAGTGGAGTTGTTGGGATCACTGGGCTTGTCGATGAAGTCTGCTCTCAAGCATGCAGCATGTAGAATGGTGAGTCCCTGTGGATTCCTGTAGTTGACATCAAGCCCGGGAACTAGAAATAGTTGTATATGAACGCCCCCGACAGCTAGAATCAGCTCGTGCAACAAGGTCGCCTCACGATGATCAGCATTTACGTCCAAGGGCGATGCTCCCTTTTTGAAAATGACGGATTCCGGACTTGAACTTGACCTGCTGCTCTCTTCCAAAAAGAAGTAGTTAGAAAGGGGGTTCGCTCCGTGGTCGATAAGGATCTTAATTATCTCAGTAACAATAGCATTGTCAACCATTGGCCTCCAGAAACCGTCGTCTGGGTGTGGTTTGATGAACAGCATGCCCGCTGCGCGCAGCGCTGGATCTAGGTCTACGTCGGGATGTGCTCTATCATCCCTTGTGCGCAAAAGCTCACGAAGTGCATCGACCTGACCGGCTTCGACTGCCGATACGATGTCATCAGGCATGACGATGGCTCCGTGCTTCATCAGCAGTCGGGTCATCAGGACATCATGGCTGGCCATGCTGAGGCAGCTTTTGCCCCTCTTGGTTATGGCGTGAATATCGGCTCCAGACTTGAGGAGAAGTTTCACTGCGTCGTAAGAATGAGGTCTAGGCTTGAGGACTGTCCCGCCACTGATTGCCATGTGTAGAGGTGTGAGACCACCCTTGATGCGGAGATTTATGTCGATCCCCGGCACCTTCAGAAGATATCTCAAGGTATGGTGAACATGCCACCAGCGTAAACCTTGCGCAACGTAATGAAGAGCTGAGTCGCTATATGCTAGTATGCGATTGTCCTCAACGTAATCTGTACCCCAGGTTCTCTCATTTACATCAACGTGGAATTCTTCGACGAGCGACATGACGACCCTATGATTGGGAAGGTCGCGCTGCACAGCTTCGAGGAGGAATGGTTTCGGGATCCTCTTCAGATCTGACTCAATGGAATGTATAACTCGTCCCTCTGCTTGCGTTTCGCTTGCCGGCCGGTTGGCGCACCACAGCCCTGCTTTAGAGCTATCGCCAAAGGCGTGCCAATCCCCATGACCGAGCGCACGTTTCGCTTCAATCATACCGATCTCCCTGACTAACTGGGCGAAACCGTGCTGGACTAGTACCGCAAAGTGGCTGAAATGGTACTCATCACGGGGATCCGGGAGAAACCTCGTGCCGCGCTTGGCAAGCTCCTCCACCAGTCGATACTGTCTTTGACTGTACTGTGTTAAATCATAGTAGGAGCAAATATAGAAGTAATTTCTTACCGCAGAAACAGAATGAACTTGTAAGCGTTCGGTTCGCCCGCCTCAACCCGTGGAAAACGTTTTGATGAGGCGAGTGCAGGATCATATGCAGGAGCGCTGACGGAAAGGACAGTGGAGTAAGGGGATGACTTGCCTGGCTCGACCCAGAGCGAACGGGGAATTTTATCAACAATACAACTGGCTGTGTATGCCTTGCCATGCCATATACAGTCGCCTATAATCCCACGAGCATAGGGCTGTCTCGTCGGTCGGAGCCCGGAAGGGTCAGCACCAAACTCAACTAGCAATGTTACAATCTCCTCTAGCCTCGTAGTGTCGCTAGTGAACAACTCAGTCCTGGAGGTCTTAATAGAAGAGGATGCCACTTGTTCGCTTGAGAGATCCGCCCTGGTCTCCCTTTGAGTTAGCGGATCATGGTTGACGTGACATGTCACCTTGCGAAACGCGTTCTCTTCCTCAAACTCGCTGCAGGCTTTGAACAAATTGCCGCCTGCGTTTGCATTCGCCCCTGCTTCGAAGAGGATCATCACAGTCTCGGGTCTGCCGCTTCGGACAGCGTAATAGAGCGGACTAAGTCCACTTACATCCTTCGCATCAATGCCGTCAATACGAAGTTTGTCGCCATCCTCTTTCAACAGAAGGCCCTGCGAATTTGCGTGTGGCTTCCGGCGTGACAATTTTTGCAGCGAACGCACGAGCATGCCGACGATATTGCTCTGTTGTGAGCGAGCGGCCAGATGAAGTGGTGTAAGACGCTCGTGGGTAATGGCTCGAGGATTGGCGCCAGCCTTCAAGAGTTTCTGAGTACAATATTCCGTTCGAGTTGACGCAACGTGCAAAGCTGTTACGCCGGCATGGTCCGGAGTATCGACGTTCTTCATTTGTGCGATGATGAAGTCAATGGGCATAGGATCATCGTCGTATCGTTTGGCATCGTCGGGGTATGCGTCGCAGAGAATGTGAAGTGGCGTGCGGCCAAGGTGCTATATATTCATCATTTGGTCAGCGAGGGTATTTTTTAGACATAAGCGGCTTCGCGGAAGACAAGAACCCACGTTCTGTTGGTTGATATCGAGACCAAGAGTGCAGACAAGATGCTCCCAGAGCGGATTTATCCATTTACGACCATATGCCTCTTTTGATCCCTCTCTGGCTGCAAGCTCATGAAGTAGTGAGTTCCCATCGTAATCAACTATAGTGTGGTCAAGACCGATTGTCAGCAGGAAGTCAAAACGGGGAGTGTCCCTTCGATCTTCGGAGCCGATTGGTTGGGTTTTGATAGCCTCATGCAGACAAGTCCTTCCCCTAAGGTCTCGCAAGCGGGGAGAGGCCCCGTGATCAAGAAGGAACAGGACATCATCGCGAGGCTGACTGTCGTCGCCATCTTTCGGCTTCGGCATCTCTGAGATCCGATGCCAGAAGATGCTGTGCCCGGCATGATCCCGCGCATTAATGTCTGCACCCGCTGCCAGCAATAAGGCCCAAATTCCTTCGGCATCCCGTGACTTGAAAGAACACATCAAGGCGGTTTGGCCTTGGCGATTGCGCTCATCTGGCTCAACACCGCTTTCAAGGAGAGCATTGACTATTTTCTGCTGCCTATTAGCTTTTGAGCAGTTATCGCAACATCGGCCTGGCGACCTAGCTTACCGGTGTCGCGTAGTTTTCGAGTGCGACATGAAGGGTGCTGTCACCGGCCGAGTTGAGAACGCCGGCATCCGCCCCACACTCTAAGAGCAGCTGTACTTTTACTTCGTTATAATGATCTGCTAGGGCCACGAGAAGGGGTGTGTCTCCGTAAACGTCCTTCACGTTGACGTCGGCCCCGCCCTGTTCCACCAGTAGAGGGATGCAAGCAGGGACCAGTGAATAATAGAGCGGTGTCCGACCCTTGGAGTCTACCGCGCCAGTCGAAGCCCCGGCCTCCATGAGAAGCCGGGCCAAATAGTATGACACCTCGACGATATGATGCAGCCCAGTTTTTCCATCCTCAGTCTGGCGCTTAACATCAGCACCAGCATTAATGAGAAGCGTGGCTATCTCGTAGCAGTCGCTCTCGTCCCAATCATCATTACGGTGCGAGAGACCAGGCAGGCCACAGAGAGCATGGAGACAAGTGAACTGGGCATGGGAGCCGCTGGGCTTCTTAGAGGTTGCGGCCGATCTGAACTCCTCCGCCCAAACTTCATTCAACATCTCCGGGTCGGCCCCAGCTCCGAGCAATGCCTCCACAGTTTTCAGATCCCTACTTAAGCATGCCTTGAACAGAGCAGTACTACCGCGAACTATGGTATCAACCTCCACGTCTGGCTGTGACAACATGTGCTTGACGACTCGGGCCTGTCCGGTCCGCGCAGCCCAAGCAAGGCAGCTGTGCATCGCTTCGAGGTCAAGATATGGTAAGAATGTGTCAAGCGCCTCTAAATTCCCATGTTCACATGCGTATGCGAGGGCTGGTTCCCCGCTGCCGTGGTTTTCGTACCCCCCCAGCCTTCGCGTGGTTGGTGAGACCTACCGGTGTCAGAGGGTCAACGCCAGCCTCCAACAGGACCTTCACAACTGCGTGATGATTTTTACTAGCAGCCTCGTGCAGTGGCTTCCGCCCACTCAATCCATCCTGGTGATCTGGGTCGGCGCCCGCGGCTATTAGTTCCCCTACTGTAGCAGCATGGCCATGAGAAGCAGCCCACCATCTATTAGGCCATGTTAAATCGATCTCTGCCCCGGTTAGGTCTGGCAACTCACAGTGGTGTTTTTCCCGTAATGTCGCATGTGTCTATGTCGTCAGACCAGTCCGCAACGAGCTTCCTCGTATATGCTACAAGACCATATCTCCCTGCGAGGTGTAGGACCGAAAACTTTCGTGCATTCGATGCATATCCAGGCCAGGTCACCTGGAGCCATGCCTTGACGGACCTACCAATGCTGAGGAACTGCTCAAGAACCTCGTTGATCTCATCTTGCGCATAGCACACTGCCTCCGAGTTTCGGATATGAACGTGCCAATTGCTAGTAGCATACACAAAGAACGGAAACTTCATGCGTAGCTCGTATACATAGTGCGGAATCCGTTTAGACTTTGTATGATCATATGGCTCATCACCAAATCCTTCTGTCTCGTCGCTGTCATCAATTGTAATCTCGACTTCATCAAGACAGTGAGTCATCAACAAATACCGCAGGCACGATTGAGCAAGCTTGGCATGGGATGGCCCGGGTAGCAGCGCTAGATAGCCATTATCGTGCTCAGATCGCGTAGCGCCAATAAGGTACTCGGTGAAGGAATGATGAACGACGGACACCGTCTCGTCTGGTAGTATCTCCAGAAGCGGTCCACACGCAGTTCTAATAAGGTCCTTTATAGCCCTTAGATCCTGGCCCAGACCAGGGCCTTCGGTAACCCTGCACATCTCGGCGAGTTCGAGTAGTCGTAGTGGCCTTGTTGCATGCGTAACAGACTGGAGAAGGAGGTGCTGGACGCTCGGTGATATGCCGGATCGCCTAGCATGTTCTCGCAACAGATCGGTGTAAAGAACATTGAGGTCTGCAGGAAGATTTGCTAAAACCGCCCTAATGTCGACGCCTGGCTCAAGAAAGGCCTCCATGGCCAATTTTGCGTAGAGAAAGATACCGTTTGCTCGGCCAGGTACGGCATTCACGATTACACTCCACTCGCTCTGAGGAATCTTTGATTCTGACAGCATGGTATGCACATAGGTCGAAATATCGACATCCACGAGTCGCTCCTCGAGCCGGATATGGAGGGCTGGCGTCTGGCGCATGGGAATCTCGAGTCTGGGAATAGGTCGACTCGTGACCAGGACCTTAACCTTCGTCGGTCTCCACTGGCTAAGCGACCCGAGGGCCTGGATGAAGGTATCGTTTCCAGTGTCCATCTCATCGAGCGCATCGGCGATGCAGAAGACTTTATCGGGCAGAGCACGGAACGCCATCTGCAGATCCTTTAACAGATCGCTAGTCGACAATGAGCTTAACGATATCTCATCTTTGGTATACGTCAAAAGCTTGTGTTGTAGTGGCGGGCTATAATTCAAAACCTGATCCATCCAATCCCGAAGGAGAGCCTGCGGGTTATGGTTGGCCGCGATAATCTGTCGGAAAAAAAAGAATAGCACTGGACAGCCAGGGTTCGCCTTGCCGAGGTCATCAATCAATTTGGCAGTGTGGACGGATTTGCCAGACCCAGGGATACCTTTGATCCAGAGGAGACCGCATTCATTCTCTTGAAGCCATCGCCGATATCCATCGGTAGAGGTAAGCCATTGTCCAGTCCCCGGCGAGTGGGATGCGAGATGCTTGCGGAACTCGCCGGCGGCAATGGCGTACGAAGTTGGCTCCAGCCACTCTCGAATCATCTCGATCTCCTCTATCGATACTGGGAGGATATTTTCGGGGTTGTAGTTGCTCACATCATCTCGATCGATGATGCTGACATCAGTCTCGCTGCCCGACATCGTGAGCAATGCGGGAAGAAGATTCTCTACCACTATCACGAGAAAAACTCCCTCGAACTAATACTGTGATATTCCAAAGACTTGTTTGTTAGTAGATGGCTATCGAAGTATTGAATTAATAACAGTCGGTGTACAGGTGAAAAAGGAAAAGTGCAGGTCACAGCGCACGTAGGGCCATGATGCCTGACCAGGGACCAATCACCAAGGTTGGCGGCCGGCCCGCTCCCAGGCATTAATGTACTTTGATGGCTTCTAGTCGGGGGACCAAAAGCTAGTTCCTGATGACGAGAAGCCGTATCCTGTCAATTACAACAGAATAAACGGCTAAGCGCCCAGGTTTGGATGGTTCGGGCACCAGTCGGAGAGGCTCTTCATGGCAGCCGATGTGCACTATACCTTCTCACCGCCTATTCCCCCTATTTCGACTGGCACTTGCTGCCAATTCTGGCGGCACGAATTGGGAGGCTAAATGCAGGGAGGGTACCAGTAGCAATATGTACCTAACCGGCCAGGCACTATACCTAGACCATTAGCCTGGTCAGGCGTACACTTTGATGCCAGTACTGTCACATGCATGTAGGCAATCTTTCTCAATAGCGACTTCGCGAAATGGCTTTAGCGGTAGCGACCTTCAGGCTTGCGCAACTCTCTAAACTTGCCACATCGAGCTCTAGGACTCTATTCAGATCTCGGTGTATTATTTTAAGCTTATGTAAATTCCTCTTCGCTCTTGAGTCTATTGGGGGAACTAGTGCGGAGGCACTTAAACCTCCACGCTTCGGGGACCAGTTGCCATCGATTGGCTGTAAGAAAAGATAGTAGGGAAAGCACAATATAGTAGTGGTAGCAGTAGTAGTAGAACTCATTTATCCCGACCTCGCGCAAAGTTGATTTCCCAACTAGACAAAAATACGAACCCGCACTTAACCTGCTGGGTTATTATGAACTTCTAATGCTTGCACTGAGGGAGCACGTGCAGCTAACCTTCACCAACTAGAATGTGAATACTTAGCAAGAACTGTGAATGCCAACATCTTTTCGAAACCAAGGACTACATACAATATAGAGGTCTCTCAGTTGCTGAGCATTGTATGTGTAGGTTAACTCTTCGCCGGTTCAACCCGCGTTTCAAGCACCTCAAATGAAACATGCAATATCCAGAGCCTCCGATCGCAACACTCAAAAAGTGGTGATCTCGGAGAATTTTCTTGTGATAGCCACCAGTCAGGGGCCACGGAAGACAAGGGGGACTCCGCAGGTGGCAAATCTAGCGGAGAAAGCGTCGAACTAAAATCCAACTAAAAAGCCTATAAGAATGCTAAAGGGATTAATAAGGGGCCTGGAAGGACTAGCTAGCGTCCCCGGTCTCAGCTACGCCACAAGTGATTCCTTGCACCGATCCATCTCATAGGCTAAATTAAATGTTGAATGTTAATCCTCGCATATTGTACTCCATACTCCGTACTCCGTGCATTGTGCAATATATAGATCTTTTTCTGGGCAAACCTTAGTTTTGCTCTAAAATGTCCGTATTCGTATAAAGGTTAGTATATATCGTATGCTCTTTACCAGTAGACGCAACACATAGGACGAACGGATGGGCAAATGGGTTATCCAGTATTGACACATTTTACATATAACGATCGTCTCCAATGTTTATCAACCTCGGCAGTCGACTAAATCAGGTCATTAAAATTAGGCTAGGGGCTATTCTTGACCAAAACTCAAAATAGATACCCATCTGTAAAAATAAAGTGGACGCGGGATTCATACCCAATTCTTCCATGATATTCAGATCAAGAAAAAAGTCGCCTCCTAAAACCCACAGCCATCACAGCGTCCAAGGGGCAGCCGCCAGCGGTAGCCCCTCGGATTGGATCTGGCGGAGTCCACAGCGGAACAAGCGCAAACCGGTGGGGTTGCAACCAAGTGGTTCACCTGTTTTGAAAGACGATTCTGTTTATTTGTTGGTACAATTACCGATGGGGGCTTCCCCCCCCCTCTAGACCAAGATTCAATGAATTGTACTAAACCGAAATAGTGTGCAGTTTTCTTGAGATATATCCTTCGTATTTCTCTATTCTACTAAACCGAGCAAGTGCGGTCGGCTTTAGTTATCGGCTTTAGGAGGTTGGTTTTATTTTGAATTATTTTTTGGCTTTTTTTCCCTATCTCGAAGGCGCAATAATGGTTCATTTGCTGTTTTTGTATGTTAGCTCCGAGATCACGGCCTAGCCTCGCCTGATTTCCGTTGTTCCCATAGATGCGGTTAGAGGGAATTGACTCGCGATTTGTATATGAATTGAGAGTGTATATAGATGCAAGATGCATATATCCATCTATCCATCCGATCTAATGAAACCTGGACAGAATGAATAAAAACCCCTGATAATGTGAAACCTGTAGCAAAAGTCGCCCATACCCAATGTATAGGATCGCCGGATTAATGCTGACCAAAAGAAGAAGCCGCTGGACAAAGAACCAAGAAAAGAAAGAAGAAACAAGATCGCTAGATATGAAACCCCAACCCCAAAACAGGGCTCTGACAGACGCTATGCCGCCGACCAGATGTGAAAAGACAGAGATTCAAGAGTCGAAAGAAGAACAGTCCTCTATGAACCTTTTCAGCCGCGCGAACTACGCGGTCGTGAATTCTGCGAAGACGAGTCGTGCATGATATCCGGTGCCCGGGGACCAACCATCCAATCCTCCATAGCTAGCCATTCACTCCAGCTGCGCTCGGCAGCCTCGATCTCGGCGTCGAGGGCCCCCTGTAAAGGACGGAGGAATGGAATGGTCTCTAGCGGTGGAATGTCGTAGTCCTTTTTCACGGAGGCCCAGCCGCCACTCTTTGCGGCGAAAAGGTAGTTGCGGCGCTCTTGCTCGTGCATGGGTCCCACACCGCTACCCCAGTCGTCGCCGAAGAAACCGTGCAACACGCCTGGGAAGTCCATTCCTGTTGCCACTAGGCGGCGGATGTAGGGGATCAATGAGATGGAGGGTGGGCCTGGGGGTTGTGTGCCGGGTGGGATGTGGTTGGTAGAGGAAGAGGATGGTGAGGTTGAGTTGAAGATTGGGTTCGGTTGGCGCTGGAAGGGGAGTCGGATGTTTAAGAATGTGGAGAGGGCCTGGACGGGGACGCTGTGTTGGGCATGATCTAAAAAGTAACGTTGACAGCTTTGATAGTGGGGGTACCATTCAAAGATATCGAAGTTGTCGTCTGATCTTCCTGGTGAGGCACCAGTTAGACCGATCATGGTGGCCGGGTCGAATTGTGGATGGGAGTTCATGGATGTGTGTGGTGAAGGTGAGGGCGAATAGGATGTTGAGGTTGATGTTGAAGTTTGTAGTCTTGGAGGATCTACTTGTCTAATTTTTTCCCGATGCTTTTCTTAGTTCGTGTTCTTTCTCTCTTTTTTTGCTGGTCTGTTCGGGGCTGCGCCTCTTTTCCCGAGTTCTGGGAATCCAGTGGGGTCGAATTGCGGCCCCAAATTGAGTGAACTGGAGGGGTAGTTGGGATGAAAGGCAGGCTGGGAAGGGATTGTTACTTGAAAAAAATATCCCTACCTCGACGGGCTAGGAGAGATACTCGACGTCGTGAAGGGGAATTTGGGGAGGGCGGTGCAGAACGGAACAGGTCCCTGATGGTCCCGAGTCCGCCGCGAGATTGGGGCTTGTTGATGGACATTTGTTAGGGAACCATCTAGGATGTTCAGGCGAGAGATTGGGGGGATGTTCAACAAGAAATACCCATTGGGGATATTATGTATGAAGCAAAAGAACCGTAGACATACATGTGTGTTCCAATTCCCCAAAGAGGAAAAGAGAAGAAGAAAGAGAAAGAGAAAGAGAAGAGGGAAATTGAAGTAAAATCGGAAGTAAAGAGGGAAAAAAAGATATCAGGATTGTTCTGGAACGTCCATAGAAGAGAAATGGGGTTTCTAGGACTAATAAGAGACAGAAGTCAACGTGTATACGGAGTATTTCTGAATCGGATCCATCGACGGGTCTATCCGGTCAGGCCAATCATTCTGAGATCTGCTTAACCACGGGTTGACTGTGGATATCGATCTAGGGCAAGTTTTGGTTTTGGGTTTTTTTTATATTTTTATATATTTTTATATATTAATATACATATTAATACGATTGTATTACATTTTACATTCCCCGGTACAGAGTGCCTAGATACTTACATATGTATCATCAATCCCGGCTCCTCACTCATTATTCATCTCAACCACTTAGGACGTCGTCTTATACATCTTATTGGCCCAAGGCAAGATGGCATGCTAATAATACCCATCTCCTTTTGGCAAAAGGGTTTCTGGTTCATGGCATGACTTTATCGAATCATAACTAGATCAGCACTGGATCAGAAAGGGAAAAAAAAGGGGGCCCCTTCAAGACTAGGACCTCCTGGTCTGTGTTCAACCACTAATCCCGGACTGGCCTACTCGCTGCAAGGCGTCTAGTCATGATTGGAATATTAGTCCACGAGGTCATCTGCCTATTCCAGCATCAGCACTCTCAATTGAGTGGATGACTGGTTGGAGGATAGTATTAAATATATTGAACCATGTGCCCTGCATTGTACTACCCTCGTCATGATCACTGTACTCCGTAGCAATAATTGAATCGGGAATCACACTAAGAGTGTCATTTTTATAGTGAGTTTGCATATTCAAGTCAAACATAGTCACGGAGTAGTCGATCTGTAGCTCCGTTACTCCGTACTATGTACGGAGTACATACCCCTTCACGCCAAGTTCCCACAAACCTGGTTCTTCAATATCGCGTGCAGCACATAAGACCCGGAACCCACTTCGGCTGTTTTTATCTGTCTCCATCTTCAATTCTTCAGGATTTCTTATATTCTCACTATATACATTAACACAGAGTACTTCTTGCAAACAACTCCCACATTTTCTTCAGTCGGAATGAGACACAACCTTACAAATGTAACCACAGATGGCGTCACTGAAGCACACGAGCTAGGATCT